CCTGATCGCCCTGGGGCTCTGTGTATGACAGGGTACGGAGCCCCAACCCCCCTGATGGCGCCGAACTCCCTATCGACCCTGCCTTGAGTGTGACAGGGGGCGGTGCCCAACCCCCCAATCGGCCCTACCCTGAGTGTGACTGAGGGTGGCATCGCAACCTCCTGATCCGCCCTGCTCTGTGCATGACAGGGGGCAGCGCCCCAACTCCCCAGTCGGCCCCGCTCTGAGCCTGACCAGAGGCTGCACCTAGGGATTGGGCCTGCCCTCTGCCACCCGGGAGTGGGCCTAAGCCAGCAGGTCGTTATCTCCCGAGGGGTCCCAGACTGTGAGAGGCCACAAGTGGGGCTGAGGGACACCCCCCTCCCACCCCCCCCCAGTGCACAAATTTTTGTGCACCGGGCCTCTAGTATCATATATAAAAATAAACTGAAAATGGATTAAAGACTTAAATGTTATACCTGAAACCATAAAAGTCCTAGAAGAAAACATAGGCAGTATACTCTTCGCCATCGATCTTAGCAATATCTTTTTGGATATATCTTCTCGAGCAAAGGGATACAAAAGAAAAAATAAGAAAAAACAAGTAATCCAACTTAAAAATGGGAAGAGAACCTGAGCAGCCATTTCTCTAAGGAGGACATACAGATGGTCAATAGACATGAAAAGATGCTCCACAACACTAATTGCCAGGAAAATGCACACTAAAACCACAATGAGATATCACTTCACACCTGTCAGATGGCTTCCATCAAGAAATCAACAACTAACAAGTATTGGTGAGGATGTGGAGAAAAGGGAACCATTGTACATTGTTGGAAGGATTATAAATTAGTGTAGTCACTATGAGAAACAGTGTGGAGCTTCCTCAAAAAAAAAAAAATTAAAAATAGAGCTACCATCCGATCCAGCAATTCCACTTCTGGGTATTTATTTGAAGAAATTATAAACACTAATTCTAAAAAGTATATGCCCCTGTATGTTCCCTGCAGAATTATTTATAAGAACTAAGATATGGAGCCAGGAGTTGGGGTAGGAGTCTGCCCGGAAGACGACACAGGAGTCGATGGCTGAGTGGGAGCTGCTGGCTGGGGAGGAGTCATCACAGGTGCTGTTGGATGCTGTAGAGGTGGCAGGCCAGGGGCTGTGGAAGCAGGAGGTGGTGTCTGGTGCAAAGGAGATTGTGTCACTGGTGGACAAGGCAGCTGGGACCCAAGCATGTTCAGAGGGTTAGGAAGAGCAGCACCAGGCACCTGTCCCTAACAGAGGAAACAGAGTATGTTAACATCATGCTCCCTATTTGGAAATGTGGCAACCAATTTGAAGAATTTAAATGTGTGAAAATCTAATCATGGTTTCTGGAAGAGGTCTACTGGGCACTGAGCTTCAGGAGCATGTTCCATGTGCAAAATCTATCCAGCTGTACACTTATAATGTGTACTTTCCAATAAAGTTACAGGGGGCAGGACAAAATGAGGAGATGAGGGTAGAAGGTCAGGTAAACCACAGCTGAGACCAGCTGCCAGCACACCAGCCTGAGGCAGACTCTCTGAGTGTAAATCCTGCTGGCTAGGCCTGACCACCTGCACTCACAGTGCCCAGAGCAGCCACTGCACTTCCTCCACCTCACCTCCCCCTCCCATGCTGCTTGCTAGCTGCCCCAGGGCTGGCCTGATGCTCCCCTTTCACACATTCAGAAACATTTCCTTCCCCCACCTACAATGTTTTGTGAGACTCTTCCTAAAAGTAATGTCCTCTCTTGAATGCAAATACAACTGATATTCATACTGCCTGTGGAAATGAATTCTGCTCATCAACAATAAGGAATTAAGGAAAAAGAAGCGCTATGAAGAAATAAAGAGGAAGAGAGGAAAAAAGAAACAGTGCACTTTGGGCTGTTGAATGGTAAACAGAAATCTGATTCACAGCAATAGTTAAACATGGTGAGAAACCTGCATGCGATTCACTGGCAGGGGCAGGGGCCCATCTATAATGGAGGGGGAAAAAGTTATTTAAAATAATCCTTGATTGAGGAATAAGGAATGTATCTTGAGTACTTCAAACTTAAAGAAAAAACCAGTCAACAGGTCCCAAAGCACTGGACATTCGATGCTTGCAAACCCTTTAAAGGACCTCTCCACCAGAGACTCAATGTCTAAACACAGGCCAATGTACAAGGTCATGACCACTATCAGTCTCCAAAATGTGGGCTTCCTGAGAACATAATTCTATATACTTAGAAACACACCCCAAATACAGAAGGAAAAACAAGCAAACAGATGAAGGGCTGATAGAAGGAAATGAAGTCCTTACCTGGAGGTCTCACAGGTGTGACTGTGGTGCATCCCAGGAGGCTACGCCCCGGGGGCTGGAAAGGCTGGCTGGTTACCCAAGATGCCTTGTCTGTGTAAACGCGACCTCCTTCTTTCCTCTCGTTCTCTTTGTATCTCATAGATTCTCTCTGCTAATAAGCTATAGTATTCAGCCTGAAGAGCAATAACATTCGGCAGTCAAAACTATAAAAAATGATCTGGTTTGTATGTTCTAAAAAATTAATGAACTTTTTTATTAACAAAGTAAGTGTTCAACACTCCTAACTAAAAAACCAAAGGCCAAAATTCTTGTTGAACTAGTTACATTACAAGATTTAATAGACAGTAGGTACTAAATGCATGTTACTTTTCTTGCCACAGTTGAACCTCTTGGCTAGTCACTGGTGCTGGCAATAACATAGTATAAGCATAACAAACAGCGCCCACATCGACATGGACATGGACATGGATAAAATGCAGTTTTGTATACCTCATTTACCTGTAGTGGTGGATACTACAGTAAACACAGAGAGTGTGCAGGGACCTAATTTTTTTTTTCCTTTTTCTTTTTTCAGAGAGGAAGGGAGAGTGAGAGAGAGAGAAAGAAACACCAATGATGAGAGAATCACTGATCAGCCTGCCTCCTACAGGCCCCAAACTGGGGATCGAGCCTGCAACCCAGGTATGTGCCCTAACAGGACCTTCTGGTTCATAGGTCGATGCTCAATCACTGAGCCACACCAAGCAGATGGGCCCCAATTTCTTATCTGCTAAGTCTCTCTGGTCAGGCTCCTCAAGGTGATGGACTTACCCAACTAACATATCCCCATTTCCAGACAAGCCAGCCGGACAGATGCAGTTACCACAGATACCACAGGTATGTGCAGGCTGGAATAAGTAAGGCAACCTACCCGGCTGTTGGCAGACTCATACATGTCTCCTTCTACTCTCTTAGCGTAGGCCACTATGTTCTCCATGCGGGGATCCTCCAGGGCTGCAGGGTCAGGTGTTGGGAAGATGGCTTGGATGCTAGGAGGACAACATATTCTATCAACCCACTTTCAATACATCAGTATCTTGCCACTTTATGTGTGACATGGAAAGAGAAGCTTATCTACCTACAGGGGTGATACACTGTTGAGAGAAATCCCAAATCTCTCTTGCCTAGAATATGAGTACACAAATGAAGTCATTCTCTAGAGACAATACTAACCTGTTGATTTATCTACAAGTCCAAAACAATATTTTGCTATTAGCAATAAATGCTAGGTCATCTCAAGAATAATACAATTTTTAAAAAGTATTTTTTATTGATTTTAGAGAGGAAGGGAGCGGAAGAAAGAGAGAGAAAAATCAATGATGATAGGGAATCATTGATGGGCTGCCCCCTACATACTCCACACTGGTGACCAAGCCCACAACCCAGGCATATATCCTGACCAGAATTGAACAGCCACCTCCTGGTTCATGGGTTGACGTTCAACCACTGAGCTACACCAGCTGGGCAAGAATAATATGATTTTGAATTCCTACTTTTAAACTATTTATTACAAATTTTTAAAATTAAAATAATGAAGAAAACTCCAATAGAATCATTGGTTAACTTCACCTTCAATTTAATTTAACTAGCTTGCGAAAGTTCACTATTAACTCTGCACGTTCACTGACTATATATATGATGGTACTGTCACTAGGCCACTAGGCCAAATTCCCCCAATTCTCAGGCGTCTCCAGAAACATAATCTTGAGCCATAAATTAGCTTCTGAGCTAATCCCAGCCCCCTCATGTATCCCAGAGCTCAGAGTACATATCTAGCTGCACTGGGAGTGTTGGCCTCTGTGACATGGCTTACAGTTCATGCTCCTCTACAGGGTAGAGCTATGAATGCTCTGATGCCCTCACTGGGGATGCAGGGTCTGGGATTCTCTGGCCTGCCAGCAGTGTCTGTGATTCCCTAAAAAGGGTGTGAGTCCCTTTAGCTGCTAGGGTACTATCACCTGGAACCACTTAGGAATTAAATCAGATCCTGATAATAAAGTGCAAAACTGTCACAATGCTATCAGCCACAAAATGTTTCTGTCACATGCGAATAATGGGTGAGGTGGGAACATACAATTTATGCACTAGGTGGCTCCGCAGGTCCTGGGTGACATCTTCATGCCAGACTTTCTGAACGCCAGTACTGGAAGTAGGTGCTGCTGCTGGTCTAGTGCTGAGGGTCCCAATGTTTCCAGAATTTGAGCCGTTCATCGTTGGGCTATGGGAAGAACAAGAACTTCAGCCACCTATTAAAGTGACTCAAATGTGCTTCATTTAAGTGAGGCCTTCAACCATATGAGACTTAAAAAGTTTAAGTTAGGAGAGCCAAGTGGTGAATGGACAACAAAATAGAAACCATGTTTCATCTATTATCTGCTCTACATTTATAATTAAAAGAAAAAGAGCATGCCTCCACCCAAACTATTTTCTCTGCCTCACATTTAGAAAGAATTATGGCGTTTTGTGCGAGTCCCAGCCCACGTTTACGTGTGACTATCACACAGGAGCCAATTGAAACATGGGTCTTACTTTGTGGCCCCAAGGGAAGTTGGAAGAGCTGATTCTGAAATCAAGTTTGGTGGCTGCTGATCTGTTGTTATTACTCCTGCTGTTATGCTCATTGGGTTATTTCCTTTAAAAACAGAAAAGAAATCAAATCCTAAATTATAATATACACTTAAGAGTTCAAGTCACTATACGAATAAGCAATTCTTAATGAGTATAATAACCGACACTATGGCAGGAACTCTGCAAGTTATATTTTCAATAACGGTGATTGACTTGTAATACAAGTTCAGTTGCAGACTCCTTCCCACTGTATCATATAATTAAAATAAGACAGTTTTATGGAGGCTGGATGGTATCATAAGTAACTATAAGGTGGTGGAAAAAACCAGAAATGATCCATTTTAGTTTTAGATTTTGATCCTGGCTTTATTAATATCATGCCCTAGACAATTAAACTGACTTGTCACATATGTGTCATCTATTTCTTTTGTATATCAGAAACTAAAACCATAGATACTGAGTGTAGGTGAAAAGCATAAAAGGTCAATTTGTCTACAGTATTCATCTCATAGGATAAAAGAAGTTAACAGTCTTATCCCAAATTAAACCATCAATAGGAATGGAATTAGTAATTAAAAAGGTAAAATCAGGTGATGAAAAAAATAGGTTCTTAATTAAAAGGTGAAAAAAGAATTAAAACAAAATAAAATAAAAATGTGCAGTAGTGAAGGTGCTTCAGATCTTCTACTCTTCTTTCTGGGACGCCTTAGTCCTGCCGGGCACTGAGGAGAGTGTTGGATTTCCCTGCGATACACGGTCCCTCCGTGCTGTAAACCACAGTCCTGATTCTAAGGCAGGTTGTATTTGTTTACCAGACTGCCTTTATTTGTCTTTACAGAAGAGTCAGTTCCTGCCTCTGAGGCTGTCAGTCCTCTCTATCCCTGGGGTTTATGTTCTCTATGGTACTTGAAAAATGGTTCGGGAATCCTCCGCCCAGAAGTGAGTCATTCTTTAATAGTTACTCTGCCACCCCACCCCATCCCCATCCCCCGAGTTTACAGGCTCCCCAAAAAGAACTTTCCCCCAAGCCTCTGCAAATGACCCCAACTGGGGAATCCCATGCACTGGGTTTAACAATCAAACGCAGGGATCTAAGGGGAACTGTAACAACAAGAGCCTGATATGTTGTGCGGATTCGCAAGCCTCCACCTTCCAGGTCTGCGCGCAGTCTCCGCACGCCCACTCGCCCCTGGCACCAAGCGAAGTCTTACCTTTCGTGAGAAGCAGTGCTCGTCTGAGTTCCCGCAGTCAGTCGCGCTGCTTGAGATTGTTATGCCCAGATTTCAGGATCCAGCCGAGTCCGATGCAAAAGCAGAGTCTTTATTATTACAAACCTGGGGCTGGCTCCCCTACCCTCCTTACTGACACAGCAGCAGGTGGCAGAGAGAGGGCTAGCCCGGAAGAGGATTTTATAGGGGGGGTGTGGAGTAAGGAGAGGGGAGGGGACTGTGGGCCCTGCCGATTGGCCAGGAGTAAGTTGGTGTCTTCTTACACAGGATGTGGTCATATCTATTGTAGTTTGGTGTGGCCAGCAGAGGCTTGGGCTTCTGGGAAGAAGCCTTGTGGAGCACAGGGCTCTGCCCCAAAGTGGAGGATTGGGGCAAGATGGAGGGCGTAACCCTTGCCCTTTCAGAGATCCCTTGTTTCCAGGTTAGTAGCCGATCTCTGGATTCCGGTAACAGCCACTCAAGATGGCGTGGTCTCCGGGCTGAGCCGGCGCACCGGGATGGGTTTCAGCTGCAGTCTCCAACCGTCCCCTTTTTCTGGGAGTTCTCTGTGAAAGATCAGACGGAGGCCTAAAAGCAGGACTACAGGCTTTATTAGAGAAGCACCTGCCAGGCTGTCTGGCAAGGGGAGGACAGCAGCACGTGCGGGGGTGGGCACGCCTTTTGAGGGGCAGAAGGGGAAGGGGTGGGGGGCTTAGTGTACTCAGTGCACACTGATGGGTGGCTTACTGCATTGTCCATATAGGACAAGGGCTTAGGGTATTTGGCAGGTGTGGATTGGTGGTCCAATGTCTAGTCCATATAAGGTACCTGGTTAGTCACTCAGGTATTTCTGGGCTGCAGGTTAGGGCATACCCCGCCCACCAGCTGCGGGGAGGGAGGATCTATCATTTGCCACCTGCGTATCTTCTCTGGTGAGGCATTTGTGGGACCCTTTGCCTATATTTTAATGAGTTTTGAGTTCTTTGAACATTTTGGATACAAGTCCTTCATCAGATACGCGTTTTGCAATTATTTTTTCCCAGTCTCTGCCTTGTCTTTTCTTTCTCTTGATAGTGTCTTTGGAGAGAAGGTTTTTTTTTTCTTAATGAAGTCATACTTAATGAAGCCAGAAAAAGAACCATCCCTTATGTAGGACACTAACAAATGGGGGGTGGGGGAGGTTAGGAGAAAGTGTGTTAATTTTTTTCATCACAGCAGGGCACTAATTTTACTGTCCAAACAATATTTAAAAAATTAAAACATTTTTAAAAAGAACATATATCTTACAATAACTACGTCACTTACCATGTTTTAGATATTCATCAATGTTGCATATAATTTTTTCTCAATTGTGTAGTCTTTCATTGCAGAAATATGCCTTTTTGTTCGTTTATCCATTTTCCTGTTGATGGGTCCCTGAATCGCTTTTGGATTTTTGGCTGTAATAAATAACCCTGCTATACTCTTGTAAGTCTTAATTTAAGAGTCACTTTAAATCCTGAGTTGACCTGGGATGTTTGAATAATTGGAATCACTCTTCACCCCCCGGTTTCAGCCCAGGTATCATTTCCTTAGAGCCTTAGTCACCACCTCAGGGAGTCCTGTCTTCCTCCCACCGTCTGCCCCCCCCCCCCCCCTTTTATCTGCTACATAGGCAGCCTTTACGCTGTTGTAATTACTTGCTCACTTGCCTGTCCCTCCGGGGAAAGTCCCTCGCTAGACCGCAACAGCTGCAAGGGGGCAGGGCGCACCGGGAGCCAGTCCTCCCACCAACAAGGCCCCGGGCTGCACGCTCCCCAGAGACCAGACGCTCGGGCTCATGCTGTTCTCAGCAAATCACACAGATGATCAGCACGTCCCCCAACAAGCCTAAGGCTAGCAAGGGCGGCCGGTATCCCCAGGGCCGGCCCGGGAGGAGCCGGGTTTGCGGGCGGGAGACGAGTTCGGATTAGGCCGCTCAGGCACATCACACCGCTCCCCGCTCCCTGTGACCAGTGGAGTCCGTGCACATAGCGTGCAGTCGGAGGCAACAAACTTACACGGAGACCCGCCCACTCAGGGGCCCACGGCCGGCACCGCGCGAGGAGCGGGCAGGCTGGCGGGGCACCGGGGCTGGCGGGGCACCGGGGCTGGCGGGGTACCGGGGCTGGCGGGGCACCCGGGACTCGGGGGGGGGCCGGGGGCTCCGGGGGGGCCCCGGGGCTCGGGGGGGAAAAAAACTAAAAAAAAACCCAAAACTCAACTGGCCCCCGAGAGACCAGCCCCACTTTGAAGCCCCGCCCCTGGGCGGTCCTCTCACCGGAAGCGGGGCCGCAACGCACGTCGGCGGCGCTTGCGCAGTGAGGTCGACGCGCAAAGGACCAATGAACGCAGAGGTGGGCGGGCTGGAGACCAGCGCCTCGGCTTCCGGTTCCGGCTGGCGGTAGAGGGTCGGCTCCAGTGCGACGTGTCCCAGGCGGCGAGGCGGCGGCGGCAGGTAAGGCGCTGTCCGGGGCGCGGGCGACCCTCTGTGACTCGCGGGGCGGCCGGCGGGCGGGGAGGGGGCCCGGGTCGGGCAGGCTGGGGTGGCAGCGGAGACGCGGGTCCCCGAGGGAGAGGGCTTCCGGGCCTGAAAACGCGTCCCCGGCCCCTGCGTGTGAGTCCTGTGGGGTGCGTCTCCGGGGCTTCTGGGCGGTGGTCAGGTGACGGCCTGCGGGCCTCCTGGGGGTGGCTCTGGGGGTGTGAGTCCCCTCGGGCGTGTGTCTCGGTTCCCTCGGATGTGGGCCCCCTGGGATGTGGGTCCCCTGGATGTGTGTCGTTCCTCGGATGTGGGTCCCCTGGGATGTGGGTCCCCTGGATGTGGGCCCCCCGGGGATGTGCCTGCCCTCGGGAGAGCCGTATTCAGGCGGCCCTGCCAGGTGCCTGTGATGTGGGGGGTTGTCAGTCTAATGAACAGGTCACATAGGTTCCTGCAGCCCCCAACCCCACCCCTCACCCCCAGGAAAGGGTCCTTGCATGGCGGCAGCTGTAAAGTTTCAGCCCCTGGGTTTGAAACACTGAGTGAAATACTGAGACAACAGGCGTTGGTATGTTTTGGGAGGGACCCCACATTCTCGGCCCAGACGCGTATGAGAACCCCTAGTTACCTGCCTGTTTTAAACGTGTGGAGTCTGTTACCCGCCTGCCCACCCCCAGCGAGGAAGCGGTCATAGCCGGTTTGACGGCCGCCTGGCCCGACAGTGCCTCTCACTGTGGGCTGGAGAAGTGTATGGGTGTCTGCCCGCCGCTCGCCGACGCCTGGGGGGGAGGGTAGCGCAGGGGTGGGCTGGTCTCGCTCGCAGACCGAAGGAACCGTGAGGAACTCGCCCCTTCTCCCCAGAGCTGTGTCCACACCCAAGGGCTTGCTCGGCTTCCTGGTCCTTGTGGTTCTGGCACTTGGGTAGGTCTCTCCCACGCGGGTGTGTTGGGTGCCACGGCTTGGAGCGGTCAGTGCAATCCACGTCGGCCTCCACTCTGGCTCCTGCAGAACCATCGCTGGCGTTTGCTGCGGGAGTTTACAGTAAAATAGAAAGTACCTGTTGGGTTCCCAAAACCTTTGGCTCCTTAGTAGGAACAGCGGAGGCCTGCGGAGTGCGTGAGGACGGGTGATCGTGATCGCCCTGCGCATCCTTTGTCAGTGACGATAATCACAATCCCGGCCAAGCCGTGGCCCTGATGCTTTGCTGGAATTTACGAGAATAGCGTCAGTTTAGGCTCGGAGTCTCTTCTCTCTTTCCTTTTGTTTGTTCTGTGAGATGGGATTGACCCGTCAGGCATGCCTTTCTGGCCGGTCTCCTTTGCACGTTGGTATAACAAGGCCCGGCCGCATGACGACCGAACGTGACTGTCTCTTCTCCTGTTTGTCTAACAAGCACCATGGACCAGGTCATGCAGTTCGTTGAGCCAAGTCGGCAGTTTGTGAAGGATTCCATCCGGCTGGTCAAGAGATGCACCAAACCCGACAGAAAAGGTAAAGCTTGAAAGTGAGAGGAAAAGGTCAATCCCTGCATTTTCTAAGCCTTGTACTTGCTTACTATTGTCCTCCTTAATAGCCATTGAGTTCCTGTCTTTTAATCCACATTTTTTATTTATTTTGCTTTATTTTTTAACAGTCACTTTCTATATTTTGTATACTTTATACATGATTCTGTTTTATTTATTTTCAAATGGTGTAAGAGTATTTATTACAGCCTTATTTTCATGTTAAGTTTGCCTTAGTCATATTTAATGACTTCAGAGTTTTTAGTATGTTCTATATTTTCACTCTAGAAAGTCTTCTGGGAGTCCTCATGCTCAGTACTGCCCCCTTTTCTCCCCCAAACAGAACCCTAACGGGAATCAACAACAGAGTTGTCAACCTAGGAAGTTTAATTCTTATTTATCATGGTTCATGTGTTAAAAGGTGCACCAGAGTTTGTCTACTTTTATCCATTTCTTGACTGCTGCCTGCGCTAGGAGCTGGAATACAATAGAGAATGTAATACATTATGTTATATATATATATGTATATATATAGTAAACTATACAACAGTATATAATAGAGAACAGTCCTTGCTCTTACGGAGCATAGACCTTTTCAGGGAAGGTAGTCCTAAGCAAACAAATGCAGTTCAGTTTCTAATTACTGCTGTCGGAAGGGTATGGAAAAGAAATAGAAGAATCTGGACAGCTTCCCCGAGGAAATAACGTGAAATGGAAACAGGACTGGGGTCTGAAACCTTTACAGAAAATTGTGCTCAACCCAATCTGATTTTCAGCCTTGTGTACCAAATCCAGTGGGCCTATATTTTATGAAAAGTCATGTTTTGTGCTTTTATAATCTATTTTTAGCAATGTTAGAAGTAGACAAATACTCTATTTCTTCTATCTACATTTTATTTCTTTTTGGCATCCTGGTCATTTGCTGAGAAGATAAAATATTTCACTGCTTGTTGATGGATTCACTAGTGGCATATCCTTTATTTCTTTCTTAAAACATTGTCAGTTTACTTACTATTAATAAATAGTGTCATACTTTATTTAAAATCATATATTTATTATCAGGAGAAATGTTCACCGGTAAGTTTATGTTACTGCTAGTTTTCCCCCCCCATACTTGCAGTGATACTGTGAAAATGATGAATTTTGTGTTTTTAATCCAGAATTCCAGAAGATTGCCATGGCGACAGCAATCGGATTTGCTATAATGGGTTTCATTGGCTTTTTTGTGAAATTGATCCATATCCCTATTAATAACATCATTGTGTAAGTAAACTTTTTGAAATAGACAATATCTAGAATAGAATGAAAATTGAAACCATTGAGATGACAGTTTGCTATTTCATCAATGCGCAGATATGTCTCTTGACTTTTTAATGCTGCTGGGATCTGCTGGTATTTATTAGGCACCTGATAGTGGGAAGTGGCTTTGTTTTCAGATGATTAAGCCAGGGGTTTGGGTGCCTGGGAAGCTGCGTGGCTGAGAACCATGGCTAGTCTGAGCTCTCTGTTTGCAGCCAGCGTGTTATCTATCAAACTGGGCACTTCTCCGCAGGCCACTCTGATAGGCAGTTCATGTTTTCTGTCTTGTTCAGAAAGACATTTCCCCAGTGAGGACTCTGAGTTTTTGAGATCCGCCTGTTCCGGCAGCCACTTTATCTCCAAGGACGTTTTCAGTCCAAAACTTTAGAGTTCAGTTTCTTCTCTGTTATGCGGTCTTGGGTCCTGTAGGTGTGTGTGGCTCTCAGTGAACTGGGTTTGGTGTCATCACAGCACAGCATGCTGCCTTTCAGGTCGTTATTGTTGTTAAAAGCTGACGAACATGCAGAGCTGACCCTTTTTCTCTCTTTGCAGAGGTGGCTGAAGGCCTGTGGATGAGGGGTTCATCTTGGGGATTGGTGGACAGTGCCGATTTGAGAAGCTCATGGAGTAAAAAAAATTGCCTGCATGTTTTGTGTTCTTTCTTTTTTTTTTTCCAAGATGTTTTCGTTTCTAAATTAAAATAATTTCAATATAAATAAACTTCTCTGTTTTCTATCACAGATATTTACAAAATGTTGAAATGTGTTAAGAATCTGAGGTCTGCTATCAGTTGTAAGGGGTGTAAGACCCCAGGCAGTCCTTCCTCCCCCAGGAATTGAAGTTTTAAAGTAAAACAGCTGGACTCAGACATTAAAAATAGATTTTCCTTTAGTTCTTCCTGGCTATTTTAGAATTCACTTTCTGGCTTCCCACATTTCCTCCCAAAAGGCTCCTTTGAGCGGTAGTAACTAGCATTTAGACGGGGTTGGTGAGGAAGATCCACGCTCTCAGACAGGTCTGTCAGACTGTCCCCTGTGCAGGTCTTCTGTTCACGCCCCTTCCTCACACCGCGCACCGCCGTCCGTGAAAGGGGTTTCCCAGCACCAATCACACACGGATGTTTGCGTTTGAGGCCACAGGTCAAATATCCTGACTCCCAGACAGCTGTTCTGCAGGAGGGGATGCACTCTTAGGTTCAATTAGCCTTTGTTATCAATGTCAGCGGTCGCCAACTTTTCGGACCTCATGGACCACCAGTGGTCCACAACCGCTGATCTGTGTAACCTAGGACCTGAGCGCCCAATTAGAGAGTCAGAATTTAGAGGAACGGGCTCCAAGTTCCTTAGACAAAGCAATAGATTTTTATAGAATTGGCTTTTATTTAACATCATTTTCAGAAAAATTTCCAGAAAACCCTAATGCCAGTGACTTATATCAAAAGTATAAAACGAGCCAAAATAGTCTTCTCAGGTGAGGGGAGTTGGTTTTCTTCACAGCTGTTCTGAGTAACCAGGCCTAAGCCTCCCGGCCCATGGCTGGGTTAGATTCTGTCGTCTGCCCCGCACCGTTTGGAGGCGCTTATGTTTCCAGCAGTTCTGGGATTCGGTGATTCCTTCAGCACTTTCATCCCTTCACGCCTGCTCCAAGGGTTTGTCCTGGAGTTTCAATAAGCATCGCCACGCCGGGTGTCTCAGAGTTCTCCAACTGTGCACCCACCAGGAAGCATCTATTAAAAGCTGAAAACACGACCGAATAGCATTGCAAAGAAACCCAGCAGCGCACAGTTACACAAAATGTGTGCCTGCAATTATTTTGGATCCACAACCTATTAAAAAGTTATGCAAGTTCTCGAAACACTTCGGAATCCCATGAATCCCAGAGCCCACTTCAAACTTGAACTTGCAGCTCACTGTCCAAAGAGGGGTGCACGTGTATCAGCTCAGGTCCGAGGCTGGAACGGCTTAAAATGCATTCACTTTCTGCCCGTTTCCTCAACGCATTTTTGCTGAATTTAACAAGGCGAAGTGGGACACAATAGAGAAATGTGAAAGTATCTTTGGCTCTGAGGCCCACTCCTGATGCCTGAGTGGATTGGGTTTGAATTTAATAAACTGGGTGTGAATCAGTGTCCTGAAGTGTCTGTTCCCTGCGCGAGGTGAATTGACGGACTGTGAGGCGGGCAAAGCAGCGTGAAGCTGTCATCATGGAAGGGGGTGCGGGTTATAACATACCTCCTATTACTGCATTGGCCCTACTGTCCACCAGCCCGGGCGTTTCAGCAGCATCTCAGCGGGAAGGACAGGAAGTGGTGTGAGGCTCCAGGAGGGAGGGTTTTTCCTGCTTCTGAGGATGGATAAACGGACTGGGTGTCGGCTTTTCTTTCATGCTTCAGAAGGTGGGAAAGAACAGCTGTTAGAAGAAGAGGTGACTTACTCATGGATTCTTATTTCTGATGCAAAAGAAACAAAATTCCTAAGCAGCTCTTGGGCCAAAGAGGAAATTAAGGAACAATCATAGTTTACTGAGGAAGTGGAAGTAATGAAAAGGCTATATAGAAACTTACAGGACTTGGTCAAATTCTGAAACCTAAAGTGTTTTTTTTTTGGGGGGGGCGGTTTAAAAGATTTGATTATTTTTAAAAATATTTTTAAAAATTTATTTTAGAGAGAAAGGGACAGGGGAGAGAGAAACATCCATCAGCTGCCTCCTGCATGCCCCCGACTGGGGATGGAGCCCGCAACCTGGGCATGTGCCCTGACTGGGAGTGGAACCGGTGACTTCTTGGTGCAGGGGATGATGCTTAATCAACTGAGCCACATCGGCCAGGAGACTTTATTATTATTATTTTTTAAAAATATATTTTATTGATTTCAGAGATGAAGGGAGAGGGAGAGTTACATCAGCGATGAGCGAGAATCATTGATCGGCTGCCTCCTGCACGCCCCCTACTGGGGAATCGAGCCCGCAACCCAGGCAGGTGCCCTTGACTGGAATCGAACCCGGGACCCTTCAGTCCGCAGGCCAATGCTCTATCCACTGAGCCAAACCAGCTAGGGCAGACTTTATTATTTTTAAAGCAATTTTAGGCTCACAGAAAAATTGAGAAGAAGGTACAGACATTTCCTATATATCCTCACCCCTCACACATTACCAACATCTCCCACCAGAGTGCTACATTTGTCACAGTTGATAAGCCTACATTGACATGTCATTGTCATCCCAAATCTATAACTTACCTTAGAGTCACTTGGTGTTGGACATTGTATGGTTTTGACAAACTTCTGATGAGATACATCCACCGCTATAATACACAGAATGATTTCACTGCCCTCACAGGTATGGGCCGTAAACACATCTGCATAGTCAGACTGTCACATAAGCCATGTTAGCAGGCATTGCAGTGACCCCTGTGGGGAGCGACCTGGTGCCCAAGAAGCACGTGGTCTCCTAGCCTCATGGTTGCTGGCAGAGAGGACCTAGCAGGCAAATGGGCAGGTCAGATGGCTGAGCGTCTGGGTACAGTCAGTCCCACCCAGGGAGCGCGGTGGTGGTGGTGGTGGTGGTGGTGGTGGTGGTGGTGGTGATGGTGATGGTGGTGGTGATGGTAGTGATGGTGATGGTGGTGGTGATGGTGGTGATGATGGTGGTGATGGTGGTGGTGGTGATGGTGATGGTGGTGGTGGTGGTGGTAGTGGTGATGGTGGTGATGGTGGTGGTGGTGATGGTGGTGGTGGTGGTGTTGGTGGTGGTGATCGTGTTGGTGGTGATGGCGGTGGTGGTGGTGGTGGTGGTGATGGCCTCTATTGGTGTGGTGGCGGTGATGGCGGTGGTGGTGGTGGTGGTGGT